TCAGACAGACTTGCAAGTTGCAGACAAGAAATGGCATGAGCTTCGGGGGCCTGCAAAAAGTTGCCATGTTTGTGGCTGCATAGTCATTTCACAGCCACCTAGTCTCCGTTACTATCACAGGCTTTAGCGGCAGGCAAGCCTGCCTAGTCCCCAACTCTTTTTTTTCTTACATTGCAGCCACCCCTACTCCCTCTTCCTCCTTGCCTTCAATATAAGCAATGCACGACACCTCTGCACACATCCCAAACCTCACATGGATCCCCTCAAGTTGGAACCACTCCCAACACCTCCTCAGCCAACTTGCACTCCAATCTTGTGCATCCATCTGCATTGCCTGCACCTTTACCTCATTCTGCTATCCTGTCACCTAGCGTCACAGCACGGTTCCCGTGTTTCTTATAAGTATATGTAAATATATAATAGTCCTCCAACTTGACCAGTTCTGTTGATCTAGAATGTTCATTGCTCAAGTCATAGTCCTCCAACTTGAACAGTTTGGATTAACCATGTTCATTGCTGAACATGGTTTTGATCTATGATGTTCATTCCCCCAGTCATAGTCCTCCCAGGCAAAGGGGTTTTTTCTTATCCACAATATTCAAGTGCCATAAGAAAAAAATGGACAGTCAGACTGTTGCAGCCTTCATGGAAGCCATGCTAATGGTCTATGTATATCCTACAAACAGTCAAGGGAACACAGCTCCAGATGGTGGCTAAAACCCTAAAAATAGTAGAAACATCATCTGGAATATATGTCCCACATTACAGAAAATCACAAGTTTTTTTATTTAGAAACTGGGACCCCAGACACCCCTAGTGGCTGAAGAAATATATCCTTGGTCAACCCCAGCTGCAAAATATATCCTAAGTCCATCCCAGACCAGAAATATATTTCTACAGTGTGACAGTCACAATTCAGGGTCCAGGCATAAGAAATATATTTGGTGTCCATCTCAGTGAAGAAATATATTTTGGGGTGTGTGACACACTAGAAATATATTTGGTGTGACATTGGATGTCAAAATATATTCACGTAAAAGTGGAGATATACAAGCCCCAGGATATATACAATATAGATATACACCCTGACATTTAGTCCCGTAGTATTCATGGAGTTTGCAAGACTAATAGTCAGTTGTTAGTGGGTGACTGAAGTGGTATAGTAGCCACTGACACGCAAAGATGGAATTAAGAGCTTGATTGAGCTCCAAAATCTTTCACAGCCCTCACCATCAGTCAAGCCAAAGCCAATACATTTTCTTGGATGGTAAATGAGTTGGCAAGCCCATTGGTGACCATATGCATGGAAAACAGAAATTGCCCAGATTAAACGATCAAAGAATTCTTTCAAAAAGCCCCATTTGACACAACTTCGATGAAGTTGACAGCCAATATCATACAGTACACCCACTCGAGCAGTAGAGGGTAAATGATTGAAGAGACGCTCCAAAAGAACTAAAGCATAATGCTGCTTTTCACCAGCAGAAGTCATGTTCACAAGCCATAAAACCTGGTCATGTCAACAAACCATAGCCATTAGACC